TCGCTCCATATGGATAAAATCGACTATTTCATATTTTTAAAAAGTTAGAAATATACGGTTTTGGTGGTAGAAGTTTACTCTGGTTTAAAAATTGCCTAAAACAACAAATGTTAAATATTATGATCGAAAATCTTCCTTCCTCCTGGATAAGCCTAAAATTCGAAGCACCTCAACTCTCAATGTTGGGGCCTCTCTTATTCTTACTATACATCAATGACGTTCCCAAGGTTTGCAAGATTTGTGATGCCTATTTTTCCGCGGATGATACCAACATAACTGGGTTAAATTAATCTTTTGAAAGTTTTAGTCAGGATCCTTGCGCAATAGAAAAATGATCAATTATAAATCTATTATCGGTCCATATGGATAAAACTGTTGAAAATATTTCATCAAATAATAGTGCTCCCACTATTTTTCTGTAAATAATAAAACATGGAAGTATGCTTTGTCATATAAATATCTTGGTGTTTTCTGTAGATCATTAACTTTTTTCCGTCTCGTAATGAAACTCAGAAAACAGTGTGATATCATTTCTAAAACGCCTAATTATGTTCCTAAATCAGTACTACTTGTATACTACTGCTGGAATATCAAACCAAGTTTGCAGTACGGAATGCTCGTTTTTGGTTGCACCAACTATAGTTCCTTATTGCATCTTCGTTACATAGTTATCCAAAGAAATTGATAATCAGGTTCATTTTTTCAGAAAAAATTATGAAAGCATTTGGTTAGTCTTTTTAAAAGAAAATTACTAACAGTTTCCACTAGCTAATGTAAATGGAGATAATACAAACAAGAACTTGAAATAAATTGGAAAAACTCGTATGTAAGAATTTTTGAATATTTTGTACCATTATGAATTTTCTCCAGTGTGCGACAAGACGAGCTTGCTTAAAAGTATTGAAGATACCGAGTCTTATAAGCAATTTATAAAGAGCCTCACTTTTTGGAGGGGATCTAAGCTATTCAATTTACTTCGACAAAACAACCTGGTACCCGCAGTTTTTGAGAATTTTTCTTTTTTGGATGCGCTGAATCTTGCTCAAGAAATACGAGACTCATTAAAAGTAATGAACGCAGTGAGTACTCTTACATAGGTCTTGCTGATTTTTTTTGTTTAATTTTTAAGGAAAAATTCTAAATTTTGTTCACGCTCAGTTTTGTTTTTTCGCGGTTTGATTTGTGATTTTTTTAAGTTCAGTGCATTTGTTCTGTTAAAAGGAAGACAATGTCCACTATCGAACGGCAAAATTGTAAAGGTCACGCAGGACGGGATTGACTTCTAATTTTGAAAATGGAAATTAATTATCAGGTTTCCCAGCGTAATAAAAGTTTCACATGTTTATCCAGTTTTCTCAAATTGGTTCAATTTCAGCATAAGAGTGTCCATAATAAGTTGTTCCAGAAATTCAAAGAGCTTTAAGGCCATCAATTTTTTTCTTCGAAATTCAAAAAATGAAGATTTTTGAAAATAAAACAACTCGTTTTTTTTTTCAGTTTCCTTGCAGTCATAACTCTTTTCCAACTGTCATATCAAATTATCACTTGTATTTTATGAGTTTCTAGCCTCTTATTATCCGACTAGAAAACCATACTTAGGCTTTTGCACTGGTTAATGCCGCTGGCTCAGTTAGGTGTCTTATGATCATTTAGCCCATCAATCAAATCTATTGGTGTTATGGGGGCTCTAGGGGATGACAAAGAGTAAGTATAAGCAGCAACCGCTAAGTGAACAAGTTCAAGTTTTGTAATTGAACTGGTTATTAGGTGCTACGACTTTTTGTTACACAAAACCCTTTTTTATAGCATTAAAATTGTCTTTGCTCGAATTAGACTATACCAATTGGCAAAGAAATAACTCCCCATATTCAATGGACTGTGAGAGATAATTTGACACTAACAAGGAATGATCGTTTAGGTTTATTGTTTTCTGATTTTTATCTTTCTCCTAGTTATAACTTTTTTCATGTAACTGTTTCATGCGCCTTTCATTATAGGGCAGAACCCAATAACCCCGATGGGTTCGTCAGCTGTCCAGTCTTAGTTTCATTTTATTGTAAATATGTTGCTTGTCACTTTTTGAGGTATGTATCGTAATTTATTACGATCAGCAATAAATTCTTCTTCTTCATTCAACCCCGTGAATTGTGGGCAAATTTTTGAGTCTCGATGAATTTGTAAAATTTCGTCATGCACGTCCTCCCTCTAGGGATAAATATTGGGTCTTTTAAGTTTTTAGTATATTTGAAAGATCTTCAGAAAAAAGTAGAACTCAAGAGCTGCTTCTGTTTGTCGGCGATGCGAAAGTATTTTCAACCAATTGTTCTTTCATCGAGAAGAAAAAAGTTGCGATCGGTTTTCTAGTGGCTAGCTACTACCAAACTCATCTCACATGGGCTAAATATAGTTTTTTCCAAAAATGCTCTTCTAATCAAACTTTTTTAATATCGGTGATAATATTTCTTCAATTGTCATGGAAATATTTAGGTGCTTTTTTAATTTTAATCTCATTTACTGCAATATTTTTCTAAATGGCCAACTCGGAGAGAAATGCGGCTTATTAACAAAAATAAAGTACCTTGATCCTAGGGGTGTTTTTTGAATATTACAAATAAAGTTAAAGGTCAATGTTCCAAAATCGGAATATTCTGTGCTACTTGCTTAGTAACCGGCTATTCTTGTTCTAGTTTGTGAGTGCATCAGTTGTAATGCACTTCTGCCCCTGCTCGTTTTGTAGATAAATCATTTAGTTTGTTTGATTTTTGGTAATTCTGCAAAAACGTTTATGATATTTTCGCTTGCAGCAAATCTTTGACCTTGCACGAGTGGCATACATAATCTATTAAAATTGTCTCATGAAATCGATTGTGTAAACAAAGGTTTACATAATTTTCAAGTCGAAAAACAATTATTAAAACAAAGAGCCGACGTAAAATTCAAACTTGCGAATTGTCATCTATACTGACAATTGTTAGTTTGAAATACCATTTTAAAAAAAAGTGTTTCCAAATTTATTGTTACCGTTGATATATACTATACCAGGGCGTATTTTACTGATTTTTTCTGATTGTTTCATGACAAAATTTAAGTAATGGCACTAGTGTTGGGACTTGTATTTTCTTAATGTTGCATGGTAATACTTGAGCAGTGACAGTTATATAGTCTGAGATGAATTGATTTTTTGTCATTTGTTTTTCAAATATATGTACAAAGATATTTGTTTTCCAGAATTGAATTCATTTGCTCAAAAAATGCTTATTTGACATTGATGCCAATTTTTACCAATCAGCAGATCCATTTGTCCGCTCTAATTATGTGGATCTTATATCACTAAGTGATTCCTAATGCAGCTCTGAAAGCAATAAAAATACGATGAAGGCGATTGCATCAGTTGATTATGTTGATCTGCTAAAAGACTCATTTTTCACTTTTTATGCTCAAAGATTGGTCTGCTAAACGATCGGTCCCCATTCGGTACGATTGTTATTTTGCGCGTAAATATTATGCCTGTTTGTTTTGTCGCTAATTTAGACCGTGGTGTCCCTCGTGATGGAGGGACCGATTATTGGATTTTTTCCCACTTATTTTCATTCAACCAATCAGAATTGACTATTCAAAATTCTCAAAGAAATCGCGAAACTTTTAACTAAGAGAAATAAATTCAGGTCATAATAACTATAACTGTTCCGATTACCAAATAAGCAGAAAAATGAATTTCAAAGTGTCAGATCTAAAATGCATTTGAACAAACTTGTTACTTACCGATTTTTAAAAGAGAAAAACAAAACAATTTTTTTGTTGATATCTGTAGGAATTGTGCAGCAAAAATTGCTCTTTAAACATTTTCTGCTAATTTTCACTTTGATTTTGTGGAAAAACTATTCGGCGAATGGGAAGGACTAACGATTCTGATTGGTTAAAATTTTTCCATCATTCGGTCCCTCCATCACGAGAATAGCCCCCATTTTAGACTGTTCTGTTTTTGAAAATGATAGCTTTGTTTTGAATCGTGAGATAATTGTCTTATTCAGGGAGACTCAACCCAATTTTGAGCGCGTTTTTACGTCTGTGAATCAATTATGCGACAGTTGTATTATGTTTGCCTGCTAAAAGACTCAGTTTTCAGTTTTTATGATAAAAGATTGGTCCCCAATTTTAGACGCTGAGTTTTGGGTCAAGCTTCTCTAATTAAGACAATTATCTCAAAATTTTTGTCAACAACACTATCGACTCCAAATCTAATTAGTCTAAATTAGCCAAAAAACAGGTGGAATTCCTCATAGGCCAAGTATCGAATGGGCGTAAATGAGAATCAGCCAATCACAATTCAGTTTAAAAATTTGGAAAAAAGTTGAGAAAATCTCAAAGAAAGTAAACAATTCGAGGGACTTTATATTAATAATGGCCGAATATAAAAACGGCAGAAATATACAATTTTTTCAGATTGTCACTGGTAGTCAGCGAATCGAAACGAATTTTATATTTTAAAGCTTTTATAATAAAGGAAGCAAAATATTGCTTCATTTAATTCCTTTTAATTGAACGGCAATTAATTCATTTTTTAATGACTTTCGGCAATTTTTGTTTTCGGTCTTTCACTCATGAGTCTTTTGCCCATTCGGTCCTTCGCCCTTGAGAATAACCCCCAAAAACAAAGATTTAAGCGGACAATAACAGACTTGCTTAATGTTTGGAGTCTGCTAAAAGTGATATTGTGCTCGTAGAGCTGTTTTTTTTTTGGCTAATTTAGTCTATTTTGTTTTGCGTTTGATAATGTTGCTGACAAATTGTGAGATAGCTGTCTTAATTAGGGTAGCTTGTTTTAGAACAGTCTTTTTTTCCGTCTATCAATCAACCATGCGTTAGTTTTTTTTTGCATTGGTCTGTTAAAATCTTCATTTTTTCACTCTTTTTTTTTGCTACAAGAGTGGTCTGCTAAAAGATCGGTCCCCTGAATAGGTTAAGAAAAACAGCCCCTATGTATCTCTTGTGAATTTCAGACATCCTCTTCGGCACTTACAAGGTGTTGATCGTGAATGACGAGAGCAATGTGAGGAAACTGGAGCAGAGCATTAAGATGCTGATGGATGCATTTTACTGCACAGAAGCCGCCACTTCAGTTCAACAGCTGCTCGACTTCCTCAAGGTCAGTCGACTTCTATTGAGTATGTTTATGGTTCTGGAATTAAAAAGAGGACTAAAAGGAAGACGTGATTGGAAATATACGTGGTATTTGATGAGGCAGAAAGAAAGCTAGTAAAGCTAGTAGAAGTTTCTGGTATGCCTGAACCGAAAACGCACTGATAAAGTACTTTACCAAATGCCAGCTTATTTTTACCAAATGGTAGTATAAATTTTCAAACCAAAGGATATTGAGTTCAATAAAAGTTTTACTGATTACAGAGAGCAATGGCACAGAAAATTGAACAAACTTTTTGGAGATTTTTTTTTAGCTCAATGGATTATTTATAAAATTCATGTATATGTTATCTAAGACTGGGTTTTGCCTAGAGCAAATCAGTTGAACTAGTTTGGTTTTCTATCCCTTGAACTTATTGTTTCGACCATTGAAAAGTTGGAGGAACTTTGTATTCGGGGTGTTTTATTTTTTTTTCTTACTTTTTGTTAGTTTTCCACGCAAAGTCAGCTACGAAAATTAATCATCGGAGTGAGTTGTGTGATATATCGTATTAAAGCCCTTTCAGTCGTGATTCGAACATGTCGAGAAAAACTGGTTCAAATTTTTCGTATTTTGTCTTAATTTGAACGATTAAAGCGAGCGAATAGGCTTATAATATCTTATTTTTGAATCAAAAAGTTCAAAATTTCATAAAATTCCGTAACAAATTTTGAAAAAATGTTTGAATTTTTTTCGATCTTTTGTATGATTTTTTGTTTGTTTTTCTGGTCATTTTTTTCAGTAACTGTCGTCCAACTTGCTTATTTCATTATGGGTTTCGAACTAGCCTAAGTTCTAGTTTTTCCTTCAGATCTTTCTATCAAACCACCCAGAAAAAAACACTATTTGTAAAAAAAAATTTTGTTTTATTTTAAGTCTATGGTCGGAACATTCTGTGCTATTTGCACAGTAACCGATTATCCTTGTTTATTTTATCATCAGTTGATTTTTTGATTGTGTCTAACTATTTTGGATTAAATTAAACCATTTTTTTAAATTAAAGTTATTCTGTTTGATTTAGAATGTGTACCAGCCCTTCTTCAAAGTGATTGAGGAAGTGAAGGGTAGGGCTAATATCCTCACCAACAAAGACTGTTCAGTCGCTCTCGTGTTCCACTCTGATCTATTGGCTAAACTATTGGAGCCATTTGTAAACTCTGCAAAACTGGTATTCATCGCCAGAGAAAGTAAGTTAGTCAGAAGATGGATGCAATTCTTAATCAACAGAAAACATCTGTTATAGAATTTTTTGATTAGATGGATTTTTCCCGAAATTTCTGAGTTCAAACTTAAGGAGGTAAATGGCAACTAAAAAATTGGACTATTCTGTGTGAAATACTTTTTTGGGAATTGCAGTTTTTCATTGCACTTTTTTAAAACAGTTAAGCTTACTACAAGCTTGTATAATTTCTTCTTTTTTTGAAATTCGGTGATAATTTCTTTTAATTTCTATCTGTTCTTTTTTTCCCTCGCCAGTGTCGCCAATCACTGGATTATTATTCGATTCCTCTGGTTCCTCCTATTTCTATTCCTTTCCCAGGTTCCTCAGTATCTAATATGTACAGTGAGCGATGTCGGATGTTCTTCACCAAACGCATCCTGGACGAATTCTCAACCATCCTAAAACTCCTTCTGTTGAGCAGAGCAGGCATGAACTGGTTCGAACCAGACTCGGTTTCAGTGGGAATCGAACTGCAGCCTGGTGATGAGAACTGCTCTGTGAATCAACACGGGGCTATTATTAGGAACCATTTGTACAATATGAAGCATGGACTGTATGAGAGGTGCAAAGAGTGGATTAATAACGATAAAGAGACGGATGAAAATTTGGGTGAGTTTTATGTTTTGAGGTTCTTGTCAATGCTGAAAGTTTTCACTTCTTTTTTTTTGAAAAGCGAAATAACCAAAAAGTGAAATAAGAAATCGACCTAATACTTCGAGGAGATACTTTCTTTCATTTTTGCCTGTGACTGTGACGTTAAAATAATATTACAACCATTGAGAGGTAGACCCGCAGTGGGTATAAATCATACCCGATGATTTTCTCTTCATTTTTGTAATTAATATTGTCACTGATTTTCTACAATAAACTTGTTCTGGTAATTTGCGATGTTTTTTCTTTGCTGATCACATGCTAATTTTCACTTGTTCAGGTCATCTGTTTTTTTTTCTAGAAAAAGTCTTACTTTTGTTTTCGCTTAAAATTACTTTTTAGGGGTTTAACTTTTGATGTTTTTTTAAAACGTTATTGAGTTTCATTTTTAAAAGTGGCTTTAAATTTCGAGAAATTCTAGCGGAATAAAAAAAATACAGCTTAATTAATCGGTAAATTTTATCTAAAATAAGTCAAGTAGAAAAGATTCCTTAAGTTCAAATAGCTTTACAGTGCTAGATTAAGTGATTTTTTTTATTCATATGATTTTTTACATTTCGGTCGAAAATTTCTATCATTCATCTATCTTGAAATTTGGAGCAAAACGTTTCCCTAATATGAATACATATCTGTTCAATCTACTTAGCCATTACTAAAATCCCGATATTGTTGCGGTTTCAATTATAATTCACTTATGAGTTTTAACATGGAAAGTTTCTGAAATTCTACAGTTTTCTCTCTTTCTTTTCCTTGCACTTTATCTATGGTTGTTACTGAATCAGACTGATCTTTCATCTTTAAGAAAGCGTATCTAATGGATGAAAATTCGGTCTCATCCCTGAGTATTAAGCCCTTTGATATTCCATCTCCGTGGTCCAGTGAAGACAATTCACCCATTACACCTGCCCCATCCACCCTCCGGTGCAAATATGGGCAAGTGAAAACACCCGATAGCTCACACGCTTCACACTAGTCATTACACTAGTAAACGCGTTTGTTGCACTACGAAACCTCTCTTTTCCGATCTGTTTCGTAAATTGTAGCGTTCAATTTCTGTGATCAGTTTTGTACTTAGCAGTATTCACCCGGTTTAGTCTAAAAGCAAAGACTGAAATGAAGAGGCTCGCAAATTGTTTTCAAAAACAGTTCAATTTTTAAATTGAGACTTAAACTTGCTTTGCAGATGCTTGTTAGTTTGATCGTTAATTTGGAAGGAAAGTGGATGCCCTCTATGACTTTCTGGTTTTTTAGTCAAAAAATGTACTTCAACATTGCTGAAAGAGTACAAAGTTGACTCTCTGACGGAACTGTCGACTGTCTAGAGTCAGATGACATCGGAATTACTGAAGTTTTTTTTCGTGTAATACAAAAAGAAGCTTACAATATGCTTCGTTTCTTAGGAATAAAATAAACAAGATTTTTCGTTCTTTGTGTGGTTTTCGTTCTTTTTCAGAAAAAAGTCATAAAATTAGTTTTTGTCTTGTTTATTAGTTATTTTTCTTAATCAGTTACCCAAACCAATTTTGAAAACTAAATGGATGAACCAATAGATAATGTACATCACTGTTATTGGGTTTTTATGTACATCACTGTTATTTAGGTATTTTGCATGGGTTGAATTATTGTATGCGAAAGTTGGACAGTCATTATTTTTTGAGTTGTCTGCTTTTTTTGTCTGAGTTGTCTCAAGTTGATGCACAGGAAGCGATACGATACTTTACTTAGACTCCGAATTCAAAAAAACCATGAATATCTCTCAAACTATCATACGAACTCTCTCGAGTGGATTTTTGCCCAAATATATGAGCTATCGGATGATTTCAAAGGTACCCGTGTTTCCTTATCTCAAAACCTACCATTTTTGATTTACGTTCATCTGCATATTTAAACCCAGTTACTCCGACTAATAGTCCAAACATTTCAGCCAATTCTATTCCAATCCATGTGCCAACTACCGCCCATTTTATCAAATTTCTTGAATTAAGCGATGGCAAAACAGGTGCTGGAGATGCAGAATTGTCCAGTTTTATTGATGGACGCCCCAAACAATGCAACTTTTTTGACAACAGCAGTAATTACCTTCATTTAAAATATTTTGCTAAATTAGTTTGCCTCAAGACAGATTTCATCCCAAAAATTAATTAACAGATTTCTGCTTATTGCAGATTTCGTCCTGTTTAAGAGTCGTTGAACGTTGTGAACACTCTTATATAGGTCGTGATGGTTTTTTACAGGATAAAACAAACTTAAAATTCGTTATAAAAAAGCACCAATCATAAATTGTTCGTGAAATTCTAAGAGATTTAAGGGTGTATATTTTTTATCTTTAAAGTCGAAGTTGACTTTTTAAAAACAAGTTTTTTTTTCGGTTTCCTTGCGTTAATCACTCTTTTCCAACTGTCAATTGGCTCTGTTTTTATGAATGTGGTGGGATTCTGTGCTAACTTCACAGCAACCGGGTATTCTTTTTTTTTCTTCAAGAGTTTTAAGGCCGACCATTTTTTTCTTCGAAATTCGGAACTAGCTATTTTTGCTAAAAATAAGTCAGTTTTTTTTTGTTCGACTCTTTTCATTCCCTTTTTTTCCAAATGTCTGAAATTTTCTCCCAAAGTTTTTTGTTATGGGCGCTACGCGCGCCTTGGTCCTAACGGGTCGGCAAATGGCGGTTGTTTGCAGATACAGTTCCTGTCTCAGTACTGGCAACCTTGCAACACGTATCAGCCATGCCCTCAAATTAAACATGCAACCTCTTGAATGGATATTATAAAAAAGAATGGAATGAAAAGTTTGCTGGTCTTTTCAAAAATTGACGATGTTTTTTAGAACTGTTTTCTCACTTTATCAATCAATAAAGGTCTAAAGGCTCCAGTTAAGACCGCATGTCTTTGACTTTCTTCACCTCCGAGATTTGAATATTTAAATTGGGGCTCATTATGGCTTTTCATGTATTGCATGCTCCAGTCAGTATGGCAATTGATTTTTTTGTGGTTTTCTGACATTTTTTGCCAGAAAAACGAACGGATTTTGCTTAGGTTTTTTTAATCATAATACACCTGTTTTTTTTTAAACAACATGAATTGATATTGCTTTGACTATCGGAGAGCAACAGTTTTCATGGTGTTATAGTTACCGCCTTGGTCTCTGATTCCAAAATCTGATGTCAAGTCTCGGTAAGACCTGCAAAACGACCTGCTAAATCTGCGGTCTTGACACAACTTTTTCTTTCAATTATATTTGCTCGTGATCTTGTTTTCATGCGTCTAAGTCAAAGACATTTCTGATCACGATTGAATCTGAGTGTCCTAAATTTTTTTCTTTGAACTTGGGGCAGCTTAATGTCAGAAAAAGAGGGGTTTTTGTCTAGGCTATTGGATTATGAAAACGCTTTTTTCTATGGTTGTTTTTTGTATAGTATGAAGCGTTGCTGCTTTTGAAATCTTTAATAAAAATGCCTTGGACTATGAATTCAAATAAGAGAGTTCAATTCCCGTTGGAAACTAATAAGCAGCCAGCTAAATCTGCGATCTCAAAGAAATTTTTCGTATATTTTGTGAAAAGTCGTGATCTTTTTCACAACTACTGAATCTGAGTTTCCTAAAATCGATCACATAGACACGCTCACCAGATTTTTACAAAATACAGATTGAAATGAGTCTTTTTGCTTATTGTATTTCTCTGGTAGTAAGTTTTAATGCAGATGATAATCAATTCTCGAAAATGCAACATCTTTTGGCTTTCTTGTCGTTTTCAGATATCAATTTTTCTTTGATTATACCGATGTCTTAAGAGTAATGAACGTAGTGAGTACTCTTATATAGGTCTTGCTGATTTTTTTTGTTCACGCTCAATTTTGATTTTTCGCGATTTGACTTGTGTATTCTTTTAAGCTCAGTGCATTTTTGTTGTTAAAAGGAAGGCAAACTCCACTATCGAACAGCAAAATTTGAATGATAATGGAAAACGTGATCGACTTCTCATTACCAAAATTGAAATTAATTATCAGATTTCCCAGCAAATTAAAAGCTTCGCCTACTGATCCAGTTTTCTCAAATTGGGTTAATTTTAACAAAAAAGTGTTCATCATAAATTGTGCTACAATTTCAAAGAGCTTTAAGGCCATCTATTTTTTTCTTCGAAAATCAAAAGTTGAAGATTTTTGAAAAAACGAGTCGCTTTTTTTGTTTCCTTGCGTCCATTACTCTTTTCCAACTGTCAGTTGGCTATGTTTATCCTACTTTTTTAAATCAGTTTTTGGGCTATCTTGTTTTGAAATTCAAACAACTGCAAAAGAGAGACTTAAATTTTTCACTATGAGGTTTAGTATACAACAAATTGAAAATATTCGTAATAAATAAAAATTGTAAGTTTTGCTTTCAGACTTTTTTTGCCAGAAAATTGAACGTTTTTTGCTTATGTTAATTGATCATGATACGGCTGTTTTTTTTTGTATAATATAACTCATTACTGCTTTGGCTATCGGAGAGCAAAAGGTTCATTGGTGTAATGGTTACCGCCTTGGACTCTTATTCGATGGAGACCTGAAAAGCCTCCATCTAAATATGCAGTTTTGACGTATTTTGTTTTCAAGTAATTACATTGATTCGTGATCAAGTTTTCATGCGTCTAAGTGAAAGACATATCTGATTACTATTGAATCTGAGTTTCTTAAAATTGAGTTAATGATCACGCTCACCAGACTTTCATAAAATTTAGACCTAATTTAGTTCAACTGACGATTTGGATTTTTTGTAGATTATGTTTGATAAAAAGATATATTATGAAAATGTATGGGATTTGGTTTTCCAAACAAGTCGTACCAATGGATGACCGCCCACTCCTGTGCGTGCATGGATGCACTCTTGGTCTTTTTTTGATTTACCCCATTTTCTACAGCCTTCGAAAAAGTCTGTGGGGTGATTTTTCACCCACTTTGTTTTTTTTTTAAATTTTTTCCAAAC